CTCACCTCGGCCTCCCAAGGGCGCAGGATTACAGGCTGAGCCGCCGAACCCGGCTAAATATATTTTTGTTATAAGATATATCAGACATGAACTAGAATGCATGAAACATGTATGTACTATTTAAAGAATGACTATAAACAAACAATAGTGACAAGAAATGGAACATTACCTGTACCACCTCCCCAAATACCTACTGTGGTTCTTCCCATCACAGCTCTCCCCTTCACCTCTAGAGGTAAACACTGTTCAGATTTTTTGTGGTATGTATTTCTTTACTTTTATGTGCAGTTTACCAGTAATGTGTGTATATTTAAACAATTTAGTTGTACTTGTTTTTAAACTTGGTATAAATGGAATAATGCCACATGTATTTTTGTATGTATTGTTTTGTGACTTGTTTTTAATCCCTCAATATTATTTGTGAGATTTATCTATATTGTGTGTAGCACTAGATCATTTAATTTTCATTGATGTTTAACTTTGTATAGTATGAATATACTACAATTTATTTACCTATCCATGCTGTTATAAAAATTCTTGTACATATTTTCTGGTACACAAATGCACACATGTATCCAGTATATATACTTAATAATAGTTTTGTCATAGGATTTGCACCTCTAGTAGATTAATGCCAAACTCTTTTCCAAATGCTTGTGCCAGCAATGTATGAAAGTTTCTGTTGTTTTGTGTTCCCACTGATACTTGCTGTTGTCAGACTTTAAAAATTTTTGCCATGAGGATCACCAGAGCCCAGCAAGTCTATGGTAGGGAGGCCGTGAGTGTGCCATGGCACTCCAGCCAAGGCAACAGAGTGAGACTCCAACTCAAAAAAAAATTTTACTATGAATGTGTATTATTATTTTTTCTTTTTTTCGAGTTGGAGTCTCACTCTGTCGCCCAGGCTGGAGTTCAGTGGCATGCTCACAGTCAACCCACTGTCGACCTGCTGGGCTCCGGTGATCTTTCCACCTCAGCCTTCCAAGTAGCTGGAACTATAGGTGCATGCTATCAAGCCTAGCTAATTTTTGATTTATTGTAGAGACAAGGTCTTGCCAAGTTGCCCAGGCTGGTCTCGATCCCATAGGTTCAGGCAATCCTCTTGCCTTGGCCTCCCAAAGTGTTGGGATTACAGGCTGAGTCATCAAGCCTGGTGACTTATTATTTTCTTATTATGGTTTTAATTTTCAGTTTCCTTGATTACTATTGAGGTTAGGCATATTTTGATGTTTAAAGCCATTTGGATTTCCTCTCTTGTTAAGTACTGTTGCCTTTTCTTACTGCTTTGTAAAATATTTTTTAAAATATGGTTTGGATATTGGTCCCTTATCAGTTATATGTGTTGCAAATATCTTCTTCCACTTTGTGGCATGTTTTTTCACTTTCTTTTATGGTGTCTTTTGACACAGACTTTTTTTTCTTTTTGATGTGGCTGAATTTTTTTTATTTCTCTTAGAGTTGTCTGGTTTGTTTAGGGAAATTTTCCCTAACTAGAATTTTTTTAAAATTAAAATTAAATTAAATTAATTAAAAAAAAATGTTAGCGATAGGTCTTGCTTTATTGCCCAGGCTGGAATCAGTGGCACAATCATAGATCACTATAGTATTAAATGCCTAGGTTCAAATGATCCTCCTATTTCAGCCTCCTGAGTAGCAGGAACTAAAAGCGTGTACCTTTACACTCAGCTGCTGTTTGTTTATTTATTTATGTATTATTATTATTATTTTTTTGAGTTGGAGTCTCACTCTGTCGCCCAGACTGAAGTGCAGTGGCTGCTCCCGGGCACTGCAGCCTCGACCTGCTGGGCTCAGACAATCCTTCCGCCTCAGGCTGGAGGCAGTGGCACGCTCACGGCCACTGAATCCTCAACTTGCGGGCTTAGTTGATCCTTCTGCCTCAACCTTCTAACCAGCTGGAACTACAAGCATGCGCCACTACGCCGGCTACTTTTTAAAGTTTTTGTAGAGATAGAGTCTTGCTTTGATGCCTAGGCTGTCTAGAATTCCTGGCCTCAAGGGATCCTCCTCCCTTATCCTTTCAAAGTTCTGGGATTACAGGCGTGAGTCACCACACCAGCCCCTAAACATGAGTTGAATACATTCTACTATATAATCTATAAAAATTATAGTCTTTGCTTTTCTCATTTAGGACCTTCAACAACCTGGACCTGATTTTTCAAGATGTAGTATGAGATATAAAGTAGGAGCCCAATTTCATTTTTTTCCCACATGGGTGCCCAGATCTAGCATCGTATTTTGAAGACTATTTTTTTTTTTTTGAGTTGGAGTCTTACTCTGTCATCCAGACTGGAGTGCAGTGGCTGCTCTCAGCCACTGCAGCCTCAACCTGCTGGACTCCGGCGATCCTTCTGCCTCAGCCTTCCAAGTAGCTGGAACTACAGGCACGCACTACTATACCCGGCTAATTTTTGATTTGTTGTAGAGATGAGGTCTCACCAAGTTGCCCAGGTGCGTCTCAAACCCGCGGGCTCAGGTAATCTACTCACCTCAGCCTCCCAAAGTGCTGGGATTACAGGCTGAGCCACTGAGCTCAGCTGAAGACTACTTTTTTTCACTGATTGAAAAAGCCACTTTTATCGTAACTTCATAGGTCTTTGTAGATGGTTGAGGTTTTTTGGGCTTTCTGTTTTGTTCTATTCATCTATTTATCCATCCCTTTATTAGTATCACAGTATCTGCACTCTAGCTTTATATTAAGTCTTGAGATGGGACAGAGCAAGTTCTCCTTTTCCTTCAATAGTGTTTTATTTTTCTTAATGCTGTGTGTTTCTACATCAGATTTAGAGTCAGCTTGTCATGTTCCACAGGAATGTAGGTTGAGATTTAATTGAGATTGCATTTGTATATAGATCAATTTAGGGAGAATTGGGATTTTTATAATATTTTACAATCTGAGTGTAATGTATTTCTTTTTTTGTCTTTTTGATGTATTTCTTTATTTTAGGTCTTCTTTAGTGTCTCTCAATAAACATTCTATAATTTTCTCCATAAAAATACCAGGCTGGGTGCAGTGCCTCATGCCTATAATCCCAGCACTTTGGGAGGCCGAGGTGAGAGAATTGCCTGAGCCCACAGGTTCGAGACCAGCCTGGGCAACGTGGCAAGACCTTATCTATAATAAATTAAGAAAAAATTAGCCAGACATAGTGGTACGTTCTTGTGGTTCCAGCTACTTGGAAGGGTGAGGCAGAAGGATCGCCTGAGCTCAGCAGGTCGAGGCTGCAGTGGCCGTGAGCATGCCACTGCACTCCAGCCTGGGCAACAGAGTGAGATTGACTCAAAAAAAAAAAAAGATAGAAAAGAAACATCAAAGCTATTTTTAGATAAGTGGGAATGGGGAGACCAAAAGGAGAAGGATAATAGGAAATAAAAAGATTTCACCAGCGTGGTCAGAAAGTGAAGAACAACATATACAGCTCATACTGATATTGTTCAGTATGACTTACTTACTTTTCATCCTGACTTTTTATTATTGTGAAAATCTATTTTAATTTTCAAGTCCTCAATCATATCCCTAAACACTCAGCAGATCTCATTGCTTTTTTTTTTCTTAGATTAGAAAATATAGTTTATTTAGATAGTAAACTAGGGAGCGAGGAGAGACAGAGAGAGGAGATTCACCTCGCCAAGGGAGGGGAGGGGACCAAAACTTAGGAAAGATGATGGTGCCATAGCTCAAAGAGCACATGACCACACCAGAGTCTAGTAAGGCAATGGCTAATTTAATTTCTTAATTTTTGAAAATGTTGACTGTGCATGACCCTGTGTGGTGGCTCACACCTGTAATCCTACCACTTTGGGAGATCAAGGTAGGAAGGTTGCTTGAGCTGAGACCAGCCTGGACAATATAGTAAGATCTAATTTCTACAAAAAAATTTTAAAAATTAGCTGAGTGTGGTGGCACATGCCAGTAGTCTCAGCTGCTCAGGAGGCTCCAGCCGGAGGATCACCTGAGCCCAGAAGGTAGAGACTGTAGTGAGCTGTGATCATGCCACTGCACTCCAGCCTGGGTGACAGAGTGAGACCTTGACTCAAAAAAAAAAAAAAAAAAAGTTAGCTGTGCAGCTAAAGTACTCCCAATTGTCCATTTGTGGTATGTCTCCACCACTAAATTTCTCATCTTTCCATTCTTCCTTTGACCCAATATCTGAGTCAGGACTGTCCCTGTGACTAAGATGCTCCAGTGCTAATCTATCTGTGAATACTCAGATTCCAGGACAGTTGGGATAGGTGTGATTACAGATTCCTTTCTATGCTGTCTTCTTTTACATTCCCCACAGTCAACCAATGGGCAGAAGCCCCAGAAATATGATACCTAGTTTTCTACTGAAAAACAAAATGTAAAAATAACTAATTTTTACATTTTCCTATGCCACTTATGACAGGATTTTGTTGCTTTCACAGATAAGGCCACTTCTTTATCTGAGCTTCTCTGATCTACTCCTGGGAATTTGCTGGCTCACTGAAACACTTCTCTATGGAACTTCAGTACCGAGTAAGGACATCATCTGCTATAACCTACAAGCAGTTGGTCAGGTGAGTGCTACTAGACTGACTGAATTTTGCAAAAAAGCCACAAAAAAGACAGGTAATATGTTACCTATCTTGTATGAGTTTAAATAGGAAGCAAAGATGATTCAGCCTGAGAATTAGAGACCTGTTTGTTTGTTGTTAAACTTTGAAACAATGCCTTTTATTCATATTTTTTTATTTTTTTTGAGTTGGTCTTACTCTGTCACCCAGGCTAGAGTGCACTGATACTTCCATGGCCACCACAGCCTCGACCTGCTGCGCTCAGGTGATCCTTCCGCCTTAGCCTTCCAACTAGCTGGAACCACAGGCACATGCCACCATATTCAGCTAACTTTATTTATTTATTTATTGTAGAGATGAGGTCTTGCAAAGTTGCCCAGGCTGTTTTCAAACTCGTGGGCTCAGGCAGTCCTCGAACCTCAGCCTGTCAAAGTGCTGGGCTTATAGGCATGAGCCACTGCACCCAGCCTTATTATTCATATTTTAAAAACACTACTCAGTGGGGCTCGGTGGCTCAGCCTGTAATCCCGTGCCTTTGGGAGGCTGAGGTGAGTGGATTGCCTGAGCCCAAG